CCGCGCCCGCCGGCACGCCCCGCGATTGATTTTTTTACATGGCTTGTAATTTAAATCCTAGTATATATTTTTTTTTATTTCACCATAAGAAATGTTTAAGAAATAAGGTTAAAAAATAATATTTATAAATAAACAAGGATAGGAGGACCGGAGACTGTGGCGCTGCTATTCTATCTAACAAATATCCTTGTCGGTCTACTGCGCCTAATATCGTCTCGTCGGACCGAACGCATACGGACATAGTTTATGTGGTACGGTGGCAGTCGCCGCCGGGCGGGGGGCGCCGGGCGGGGGGTTGCAGGCGGGGGACGGGGGGCGGGGGGCGGCGGACATGACATGACCGTCGATACGCAATCCTCGTTCATTTTGTAACAAGAGCGAATCAATGATAAAAGTAAAAAGGTTTTTAACGTATGACAAGAGAGCGCGGGAGACCGAGCTCGCTAACTTTCCTTTTGTATATATTAAATTTAGGATAAAGCTATATATGTTTGTTTTATTTTTTCCTCTTTCCCTTATGTGGAGTCTGCATCAGCAGCTCCTCACTGCGGTACCCACACCGTAGCGGGAACATTGTGAAATCACTATGGTTATATCACAAAATACCAAATCTTGTGATATCTATTTAAAGTAGAACATAAGTAAGTAAGAAACATAACATGAACATAACACAATAAAAGCGTTATTACAACAATAAAACACAGAATAAAATCATTCTTTTATTTTTTTTACAACAAATACTCAAAATATCAATCAAAATTAACTAAATATGCCTCAATTGTACGTGTTTGTGTAGATATTAGGCAATTGCTAATTGTTATTACTCGCGTTAGACCTGAATAAAAGAAATTACTATTATTCATATATTTGTAAGTGATTTTAAAAGAGGCAAAATGGTCGAAAATTCTCATTAAAGCATATTCGGAAAACGTGACCTTTGTTTATCCACATTGTGATATGATTTTGAATGCATGCGTCATGTATATCAGATGTATGCATAAACAGTTTATCATATTTAGCACGATCCCGTGTTGTAACAACATTATATTGTCAGTGTTCTAATACTGTAGTAACATCAGTTAGGTGTGAGATAGGACAAACGAAGTATCAGATCTCTATTCCTGATACAAGCCAAGACTTAATCGAGACTACTTTATTCGCCCCGTATTGGTATACTTTGGAGTCACAAGTCCATCTCTCCGCAGCAGCCAGTGCGGAATCGTTGACCTTGATGATTATCAAATCGACCTAATAGTTCTGGAACAACTGATAATTATGTTTAAATTTAATCAACGTGAAATAAATAAAATACAAACTTTACCGTATTTATATATTTTTCAACAAAATGTAATATGAGTAACAGTGCAGCACAGATCGCGGCGCACATTTGTAGAATTTGAAAACTTAACATGACATAACGATGAAGGCCGGAACAGTCGCTCGGCCAGCGACAGTCGCGCCTCAAAATTAATTTCATTGTATACATTTGTAACTTGTACAAAATATTTTGGGATATAACTGTGTGTTTTATTTCTTTATAAAAATTACTTTTTAATGTCGTGGTCAGATCTTAAAATTACACACTACTTGACTTGGCCGGGTATTTAATTACATTTCATGATATGGTCGTCCAGATCAATGAATAATATTAAGAACTAAACCCAGGGTTACTTAATGAAATGGCCAAAAATAAATTCTGAATCGCAAAGTGATTATTTATGTAGTTACACTTCTGTGACATACGATGACGGCGGACGTCAATTTTCAAAATCATGCTAAATGAAGTTAAAAATAAAGTGAAACGCGGCAACGAATAAAAACTACAAGAATTCTCAAGTAATAAATTAAAACCATATTTTGATACGATGAAACGTCGACCGATAGCCATCTCTAATCACAGATGTGAACATTCCATGGTACGGTCGGCCACATCACGAAGTGGCCAATCCCGGGATCTGGCCACGACACGACACGACACGACACGACACGACACGACATACATCACACCTCACTGCACTGAAACAAGAAAGTATTTGGTCGTTATAGTTTCATTGGATACTTACAATTACTCAAGTTATTTATACATACGTATTGCTTTAACCATAACATACACTAGTGACTTCTTAAAGATAACTTTACATGTCGATGTTAGCGAGTGAAATGCGTCCGGCGCCCACACGGCCGCCGCCCCCCGGCCACCCCCCGGCCGCCCCCCGGCCACCCCCCGGCCACCCCCGTGCTCGCCCGCCCACTTCAGTGCCGATGCTGCCATTTCGGAGCTGGACGAGATTTCTATTCTTTATTGCCATGCCTTAGGAGGGCGGGATCAACTGGGTTATGGGAGACTGTATTTCACAGACCTGTGATACCCCAAGACGGGTCGTAAGGAAATTGATATAGAAAGCAGTTTTAGTTTAATTTAGAATAAAAGGTATAACATGATATCGCTGCTATTGATGTTTTTCCTGTGCGACGTGCGCCAGGTGCGGGGGGTGCGGGGGGCGCGGGGGGCGCAGCCGAGCGAGTCTGTCGTGACGTCATATCCGCTAGAAGCTATTGATTACATAGCAACGCTATCTGTCGCCGCGACGATTGTAACGTGTCAGCAACGGCGAGTGGCGGTGCTTTAGGCGGTCGAGGCTTAATGCTCCTCACTCTAGAGCTATCGATGTGAAGACTATGTACAGCGGGCGGCGGGCGTCGATCATGTGCCCGCCTCGGCGGGGTCGGG